GCGAAGTACTTGGGTAAGTTTGTGCCCAACATGTCAAAGGTAACAGCCCCATTACGTGATCTCACAAGGCTTGATGTTACATGGGAATGGGATAACATCCATGAACAGTCTCTGTTCCAGCTTAAACACTTATTGACGACATCACCAGTACTGAGATATTTTAACTCTAAAAAAGAAATTGAAATTGAAACTGATGCTTCAAAGGATGGACTGGGTGCATGTTTGTTGCAAGATGGGCATCCAGTGGCATTTGCATCTAGAAGCTTATCTAAAACAGAGCAAAAATATGCCCAAATTGAAAAAGAAATGCTAGCGATTGTCTTTGCCATTCAAAAATTTCATTATTTTGTATACGGACAGAAGGTCAAAGTTCACTCTGATCACAAACCACTAGAAGTCATATTTAAAAAGGATTTAGCACGGATATCTCCAAGATTACAAAGAATGCGTTTAAGATTGCTTGACTATGATTTAATGGTCTCATACAGACCTGGAAAATATTTATATATTGCGGACACACTTTCTCGTGCATTCCTCTCAGAAAAAGGATTCAAAAGTGACAATGAATTTGAATATGCGGTGCATGCAGTAGTCAAAAATATACCCATGTCTGAAGAAAGGAAAGTACAGTTTGCAAATGAGACACAGAAAGATGAAAATCTAAAAGCAGTAATTGAGTTCTGCATTAATGGATGGCCAGAGAGCAAACAGGAAGTACCAGAGTCGATACGACATTATTTCAAAGTGAAAGAGAGCCTTATCTCTATAGATGGACTATTATTGATGTCTGATAAGGTCATAGTGCCCCAGTCACTGCGTTTAGAAATGTTGAAATTGCTGCATGAGGGTCACATTGGCATTGAAAAAAGCAAAGCTCGTGCGAGACAGATATTATATTGGCCAGGTATTAATTCTGACATTGAACATCACATCAATGCATGCAGAACATGTGAGTCGAATGCACACAAGCAACAGAAGGAAACTCTGCAACTGTACCCAATTGCTGAGCGCCCTTGGGAACGCCTAGGCCTAGATATTTTTACATATGCTGGAAATAGCTACCTAGTTATATTTGATTCATTTTCAAATTGGTTGGACCTGCATTTGATAAAGAATAAATCTTCCAAAGCTGTTATTGGGGTATTAAGAAGAGTGTTCTCTGTGTTTGGTTCACCAGATTGTATAACATGTGATAATATACCATTTGATAGTTTGTATTGTAAAAATTTTGCGAGAGAATGGAATTTCAAAATCATCACTAGAAGCCCGAATTATCCACGCTCCAATGGCCTCGCTGAGAAAGGAGTAGGAATAGCAAAAAATATAATTAAGAAATCAGTAAAAGAAGGTGATATTGAAATCTCATTGCTGCAATACCGTAATACACCTCTCAAGCATATTGGTTACTCCCCGTCTCAATTGTTAATGAGCCGGATTTGTAAAACTAAAATACCTATTAGTTCAGTGTTATTGCAACCTAAGTTATGTGAAAATGTGCTTGAGAAGCTGCAACATAGGCACAATACATATAATAAGTATTATAATAGAAGTGCCAAAGAATTACCACCGTTAACAAATAATACTGATGTTACAGTATACAATCATGTTCAGAAGAAGTGGGAACCAGGTCAAATAGTTAGCCAACATGGGACACCAAGGTCTTATATGGTTTTAAATGAAAATGGAGACACAGTCAGACGCAACAGAGTAGATTTAAGAGAATCATTAAATGTGTTCAAAACAGCTTCTGGACATGATAATATACAATGTAGTCTGTTCAATCCTGATTCAAGTGACCCGCCCCAGTGTGAAGTGAATATCTTGCCCACTGAGCAAAGAGAGTCCTGTAGAAACCAAAGAGATAGTGTTCATGGATTGCCTCTTGTGGAGCCAGTCTATGAACCATCGCTTAAAACTACTAGGTCGGGTCGCTCTGTAAAACCCCCTGAACGCTTAGATCTATAAGAGGGAGGATGTAATATATGTGGTGCCATTGTTAGGCAACCAACATGACAGCAGCCTCGTGGTGACTTCACCTGTCATGTTAGGGCAGTCAACATGTGGGTGTCAGATTAGAAAGTATCACAATAAAAGACCTGGAATAAAACATTCTTATTTATTCATCCTTATACCCTGGCAGGTTTACCAGGATATTACAATCAGTACAGTAAATAACCTGTTACTTTTATTGTTAGACTTAGAACCCATACCACACCCTTCTTACCTTTATTCTCGACTTTTCAAATTTATTTTATTACTTATTTTTTTATATAGAACAGAGCATTTTAAAACAAATGGACAATTTTCCACGAAACAGTAAAAACCATAGTTTATAATTTTACTACCATGTTTAACAAGTCAGTAGAAATAGAGCAAGTAGTAGAAATAGTCCATCAGCATTAAAACAAAATAAAAGCATTTACTAGCCTTCAGGAAGATATTAATTGCATAAGGCGAGACATTCAAGAAGGAAATTAATTAGTAAATAAGATCAACCTTCCTCTAAAGATATTTTCGATAACAAGATTTTCATAAACTCTCATTTTGTATCTCAATAATATCTATTAAGGAAAATCGAAGAGTAAATGGTATTTACAGAGTGTAAAGACGGTAGTGGTTTTCGTAAAACTCTGGCAAGTTTTTTTTTCAATATAGCGCTTGATAAGACTGTGTCTTAATATACAATAGGGGAGTTTCTTTAATAAATCAACATAATTATGACACGTAAGTAATCTGGACCTGATAGACGATAGAGGTAAAGACTGGTCACAACTTTAGGGTGGAGAATTATAATCTTAACAATAAAATACTGATTTTTTTTTATTTAAAAACACTTATTCCACATCAACCATGCAGAATTATTAGTGGGATGAAAAATACAATAGTTTTTTCAATATGATTATGCACATTAAATAGTATAATACAATTTTATACATCTTAAATAAATTAATACATTTAAATTTTTATCTGTCAGGATGGATTTGAGGTCGTCTGAAATTCCATGCATTCTTCTTTGGTTTTGGAAACATAGGCAGTCAAGCAAGAAACGTTTCACTGCCAATGAAGTGGAGCAGTTGTTGCAAATTGGTGGTGGATCTTTACTGACAAAAAATTTGTGTGTGACAGCCGTATGAACAATTCTTAAAAGGTTTATAATTACATGATCTCGTCTACTTGTGGGATTATTCATAGAGCTGTTCACCTTTGGGCACATTGAGTTTAATTTGGTTGCTTCACAATAATTTTACCAAATGTTATTCCAATGAATTTTAATCAGATTTTTCATGTCACTAGAAGGATATTTTGTAATTTTTGTAGTATCTTCTAAGTTGATATGGCTTGTAGTTGCTATAAGTTGATCTGCTTTTTTATTTTCCCAGATTCCAGTGTGAGGAGGTACCCAAATGAAAACTGTGTTCTTCCCATGGAATGAAGTGTTTCTAATTCATTTTTTATGGATTGTATAATGGGATTTGTTGTATAAATTTGCTGTAATTTCAATAAAGCATTAAGTGAATCTGAAATGATGACGCGCTTCATCGTGTTACTCGTTTTGAAAATATTAAAGGTTTTTAATATAGCTGTGGTCTCGCCTGTGAGTATACTACAATTTTTAGGTAAATGTATGCTCTATAAGTTTTCTTCATCAGAATAGTAAGCAGCAGCATGTCCATCTTGTGTTTTAGAGGCTTCGGTAAAGATTTGTAAGTAATTCGGGTAATGGGATATGATTTCCGCAAAAAGATGTTTAATTATCGAGAAGTTTGTATTTGATTTGGGGTACTTTCTTAGCGTTAGGTCAATGGTCAGTAGGCGGGTTGTCCATGGAGGAGAGATTGCATTTGTATATAGCAATAGACTAAGTTGATCCATGTTAAAATTTGTGACTCTTATTCTTTCTATTATAGGTATACAGTTTATTATCTTTTTAAAAGAGAGGATGTCAGGGTAGAAAATTTGAGAGAAAAGCCAATGTTATTTTTTAATTGAGATTTTGTCAATGTAGTTTAGTGATAATTGTTGTCGCCTTATGTTTAGAGGTGGCTTTTTAGCTAGAACTTGCAGACTACTAGTGGGACTAGTTCTAAATGCACCAAGTGTCAATCTCAAAGCTGTAGATTAAATACTGTTAAGTTTTTAGCGGTGCAACCATAATCTAATTTATTTTTAATACTTCCACAAAGTTTATATAGACTTCAACTGAATAAGTTGAGGAGAAGAAAACTGTTTTTTAATTTCTTAATTTCCACAGATTCTAATAAAGATAGCTTAGGGCCTTTATTTTGAATATGAATAATTTGAAATTGGTCAATAAAAGAATGATTATGATCTAGAAAATAAAAACCGTACTTAGAATTTGTTTTTCTATTATTGAAAGCCATTTTGTGTTCTGGTATATGTTTATTCAATGCTCTACCAGTTTGACCGATGTAAGCTTTTGGTAACCACATGTTAATTTGTATACACCACTGTTTCATTGTTTTTTCTTTTGGCTCGTGTTGTTCTTAAAATATTTGTTCTAGTTGTTGTTTGTTCTAAAAGCTAGTGGTTTTTTTCTGGTGGTGAAAAGACTAATTTCAGGGGCTTTCTTATGCAGTCTTTTGTTTAAAATTTTGTTTATTGTTTGTTTGGTGTACCCATTGTTACTCACCTGTCACTCACACAACCTATACTGCTAGTTGCTAAAATACGTTACTTTTTGACATTTCATAAAATAACTTGGATTGAAAAATTGATTATCATTAAGATAAAATACATTAAATAAATTATTTTTGTTTAAAATTAAAGATGATATTAGAAGACTGTCAAATTCCAAACGATTTAAGTTTAAAGCAATTGGTAAGAGACAAACAATCATGGAATCCAGTAAATGGATTATCTTGATTATATACCCAGTGCCGATAGATAATACCTCGTTCGACACTCACGAAATGTTGTAAAAAAGTAAAAAAATGTTGGATTGATAGAAGTTCAGAATGTAATATTGACAATTCTCTATCTCAAAGAAAAACGGTATTTTTTGATTAAAAAATATCAAACAAAAAGGATTAATTTAAAGTAACAAAACTGTATTATTATAAACTTAAATTATTCATCTATTAAAAACTGTTTAACACTATCATTATATTGTGGAGGTAATGTTTTGCGTAATTCATTTCGATCCAACCATTTAAAATCCAATCCTTTTGCTGGTGGTTGACCTTTCAAGTATCTTGCAAAGTAGATAAATACCTAAAAAATAAAATGATTCATCTAGCAATATTCATACAGCAAGTTGCAAATAAAAAAATATTTAAAACATGAAAAGATAGTAATATTACAGTAGTGTGCATTCGTCATTTATACTGCCACACTAACTAAAGTTTTGGTTTTATCAAATGTTACATTATATTTTTATAACTACACTTCATTGAAATGTTTATAACAGGATTTTTCAGAAAAAAAAATCTTTTTTCCTTATGTAGGTTTTTTTTATTCCTTTCAGTCTTTCCACAGACTTATTACTCTGTAATTTGTTGTATTGGATAGTCATTTTTTGGACATTGAAGACACTCTAACCTTCCCAACAGCTGTTGACTTTATATTAACTTGTTAGCCAACTTATTACTGGTTCCCATAACAGAATCCATGCTTCTTAAGCGAGATAATCTAGTTGAACTGTGTTTATTCTATGAAATACTTAAGCAACTTTCTCATTTGTTGTAATACCAATGTTGTTATTGCCTCAGTGTCAATATCTTTATTTAATAAGATGTACAAGTATTTCTCCCAACTAATTTTAAAATTGATTATGATTCACTAGTATTCATTTCAGATATAGATTCCTTCTTGCTTTGACTAAATTTGTTATTTTTCTCCCAAAATTTGTACAGTTTTCATTTTTTTTTTAATTTATTGGACTTCATTTTAACGCCACTTATTCCCAATTTTTTCCAAACTATACAACATTTTTGTAAGCCTAATACATAAAACAAGATATGAAAAAATTGCCAAAACTATCGAGGAATTAGTGTGACAAGTTAGTTAGGAAAGCTCTTGCTTGAAAGGTATCCTCACATACCAATAACGTTAATGCTATTGACAAACACTATTAACCAACTACATATACATACCTTAGCTCCAACTATATTTTTATCATTTCTTATATTAGCTGGATATTTGTATTTATAAAATCCACATGGCGCATTACTGTAAATTTGGGCTTTCACATCGGGTCCTATACTTTCTTTAAGAATTCTTTCAGCACTCTACAATTAAAAAAAAAAAGAAAATTTTGATTAAAAACCATACTTTGTTATATTATTGATAGAGCATAGAGTATAGGTTTGAGGTGGATAGAGCATGTAATGAGCATGGACCAAAATGACCCAGTTAGAAACACCCTCCTGGATAGACCCATTGGTCAGAGAAGAAGAGGAAGATCCAAAACGAGGTTCCTTGATAATATAGATGAAAACAAGAGAAATATGGGAATACATGCTTAGCAGAGGAAGGCGATGGATAGAGATGATTGGAGAGAAATTCTTGAGGAGTTTACAACCCATGCAGGGTTGTAAACCCAGAATGATGATAACATATAGACAGGGGATCCCTTGTCCCCCAAGAAAGCCAAAAAAAGAAAACCTATTGTTTATATCTTTTATGTAGTTTATCTTTTTGTCTTTTGATTGGTGTTTAATTGGAAGTCACCCCAAGGCAAATGTCTAGATCCCCCACTGAGTACAGGCAGGGAAAGATATGATAATTATTAATAAGAATAATAAGAAACGAGTCATGAAAACTAGGATCAAAATAATAGTTGTTCAAAAGCTCCTAAAACTAATAGAATTTATCAATCTAATATGACATTAGTATGTTGAGGATCATTTTCTGTAACAATATGTAGTATATACAAAAATTAATGAATTTGCAGAAATTTAGTCTAATAGTCCATGCATAGCTCCATCAGTGGCGCACCCAGGTGAGGTTTTGGGGGTCCCCCAGGACCCCATTCCGACACTGTTATTCACAAATTTTAAGGACTTAAAATGGTGGAGGTGGCATAAAAAAATTTCGGTGCCCAACCAAAACCCCCATAGAGGAAAATTCTAGGTGCACTACTAAGCTCCATTATAATAAGTTTATCAGAGCATTCATGAAATTCATTAAAAATGTCTAAATAGTAACATATTTTATACATACCTGTCTTAAAGTTTCTCCATCCTGTCTAATACCTTGCGGTAATAGATAGAATTTCTTATCGCCAACTTTCTGATTCAAAACATATATTAAATGTTTATCTAATCTTCGATTTAGAGATTTTTGGTCATTTTTCTTATCTGCCTCTGAAAACAAACCAATCTATAATAAATTGAGAATAATAGAAAATCAAAGATTTTATTAGTTTTAATTAATTAACATGATTTCATAAGAACAGCAGCCAAGTACACTAGGTATTAATTCTTTCAGAAGTCAAATTAATTGAGGCTGAAAATAAATGAATAATAAAGAAAACTTTTCAGGATTAAATTACAAACAATACAAAGAAAACTCAATTGTCATAAACATAGAATAAACTTTTTTCATGCATAAAATTGGAATCTTAAATAGTGTCTTGTAACTCACCTGTTATTGTATCAGCAAATTTAAACTGGGACGCTTCTGCTGTCCACAAATCTTTTAAATCTTGGGCAGTCTGTTTTAGATTAACATCTATGTCTTCTATTTCTCCACCTTTCTTCAATATTTCTAAATTCTTACTGAAATAATATGATTGAAAAATAATCGAAAGAAAAAGTATGGTGGCTGCTACATTTTAAACCCAGGTTTGGATAAAAAAGAATAACAGAAACTCTAGCTCTATAATAATTTTAATAATCTAACAAAATGACCATGATAAGATACACTATTAAAACTATGGTATTTCTTTCTAAAGCAACCTACTTAAAAATATAAAGATCGGGAATAAAAAAGTATTTCTTACAGATCAGTTTCATGTCTTAGTTCAAAATTAGATTTTAGACTTCTTTCAAATTCAATATCACTCATTAATTGTTTATACTCCTTTTGTAAATCATTTAGTGGTGGTGTTATTACTGGTTTTCGTTCTAGACATACTGCAGCAAATAAATCCCATTTTTCACTTGAAATGGGTTGAGTTCGTGTTGTTCTTAATATCTGCTGGATATTATTTTGATTTTGTAATAAATGAAAACATTTTTTCATCATTTTAAAATCCTAAAATAAAGAGGTTATTAAATGCCCTTAGTCTTCTTCTTTTTCTATTAAAGATTCCAAAATGGAAGGACTTTTTCCTATAGAGCATGCAGTGAGTCAATTTGTCAATTTAAACTCTTCTTTTTAATTACTTTTTTTTTCATAAAGGGATATGTACTTTTTTATTGCCTGTTGAAAGCTCTATACAGAGCCGTACTTTAAACTTACAGTTAGTACGTTTTAATTTTATCTATGAGTACGTTATAAACTAAGTTATGTATGCTTGTATGTATGTACGTTATAAACTGTCTCGCTTATGGACTATGTTAGACCACACAATATTATTCTGTGGCTAGACTGTCTTTTTTTGTATTGTTTAAGACACTTGGGCTTTAACAATTAATGATTAAAATTAGGTACTTTCAGAAAAGAAAGCAATTATTTTGAAAATAGCTAAATAATTTTAAAAGTTATATCCTGGCCAAACTTGTTTTATATAGAGTAGATCATCGATTTTGCCGTTTTTGAAATATAATTTGCATTTGGAACTTGGTCCATGTTTCCACGCATCCTATCTATCTCGATAAAGTTTTATTTTATTTAGCGTATGGACTTTCACAGTACGATAAATATACAAATACAATTACAATAATATATACATATATATTATATATATTATTCAAACACTAAAAATAGTAAAAATAGAATGAATAGAATGAATGACACTAAATATTAATGTCCAATTTACATAGCCATTCAATTGCTTCTGGGGAACATTCCGCAAAGTCCCGGAGGTTTCCACGGTAGGCACGATTCAAGCAGTCTGAAACACAATGGCTTATGGTCTGTCTAGATTGTCCGCAATCGCACTGTGGACTTTCTGCACGACCCCACCTGAACAGCGAATCAGCACATTTACCATGTCCGGTACGTATATGATTAAGCCTTGCCCAAATGGACCGGGGCAGATTTGATCCGATGAAACCCTGAGTTGGGGTGGATATCTTAATATAGTCCGATTCTACTGTTGGCATCCATCTTGTTGTCCATTGCCTATGTATATCATAGGAATTACCAATTTTTCGGGCAGATCGTATTGGAGGATTTCTAGATCTCAATCGTTGGTGCTCTTTTGAGATGTCTGGGATATCTTGATGTATTGGTAATTGTACGTTGGCTACAATTTTCTGGTACTCTCTCACTAATGCTGCTGTACGGCGTAGATCTGGTGGAGCAATATTGCTCAGAGTAGGCAGCCATCTCACTGGCGTTGATTTTATTGTTCCAGTGATTATTCTCATGGTTTGGTTGTTGGACATCGATTTTGCTTGTATGTGCACTATTTAGCCATACTGGTACACAATATTCTGCCACTGAAAAAACCAAAGCTAGAGCAGAGGTCCGAAGAGTATCTGCAGAAGCACCCCAAGTTGTTCCAGCAAGTTTTGATATTAAGTTATTTCGTGTTCTTAGTTTACCGGCTGCGTTTGTAAGATGACTTTTGAAGGTGAGTGTTCTATCAAGTGTGACGCCTAGATATTTGGGGTTGTTGTTATGTTTGATAGCTGTGTCATTTAGAGTTACATTGAGAGTATCGCCCGCAAGTTGATTCGACAGGTGAAAGAGACAGGTTTTAGTTTTGCTTGTGTTAGGACGTAAGCGCCAGTTCTTAAAATAGTTACTTAGTGTAGATAAGTCCTCGTTTAGAGCTCGTTCTTCTGCTTCTTTACTATTATCTTGGAAGCCAATGGCCAGGTCGTCAGCATAAGCAAATTTTCTCGATTTTGTTTTAGGTATATCTGCTGTATAAAGGTTAAATAATAAAGCAGCTAGCACTGAGCCTTGAGGTAAGCCGTTGTTAAGTTTTCTAACGTTACTCTGTGCATCATTCATATATACCTGAAACAGTCTGTTAGTCAGTAGATTGTTTATCAGCTGACAAGTTTTGAGGCAAGGTATGATTTTCATCAGCTTATAAATAAGGTCCTCTCTCCACACCGTGTCATTGGCAGCCGTGAGATCTATAAATGTTATGGCAGATTTTTCGCGTCTTTCAAAGCCAGCTTCAATAAATGTAGTTAAGGACAGCACTTGGTCACAGCAACTTCGTCCTCTTCTAAATCCAGCTTGTTCAATTGGTACAGCATCCTCAATGGTGTTACATATTCGGTTATATAAAAGTCGTTCTAGTAATTTATAGCAGCAACTGAGTAAGGCAATAGGCCGGTAACTTTCAGGCAGCTTGTTGTCTTTGCCAGGCTTCTGGATTGCGATAATTTTTGTTCTTTTGAATTCCGGGGGTAGCACAGTTGTATTCACAATGTCGCTAAAGAATTTTTTGAGCCACTGTCGTGTTTTTGTACCAGTGTGGACTATAAACTCAGGATACATTCCATCGAAGCCTGCTGCTTTTCCTGGTTTGGTTAAGCGCTTCGTTTATTTCATCCAATGAGAAGGCACGTGAGTATTCTGATGTTGCGGGAGTATTTGCTTTAAGTTGTTTAAGAGCTCTTTTTACGGTAGATGTATGAGTTTTCTCAGATGGAGCTCGGGAGTTCTCAATTATTCTATTGGCTATTTTATTTGGCTCAATTGTTGATCTGTTTAAGTGTTGCGCTCTGCTTGCTTCGCCCAGTTTGCGGATCAGTCCCCATGCTTTTCGACTGGAACGTGAGAAATCAATATGTTCTACGGTAGACTTCCATTTATTAAGTCTTGTTGAGTCCAGTGACTTCAGTAAGTTGTCACCAATTTCGGGATCTTCTGATTTCAAAAATTCGTCATATAGTTTTTGGCTTTCTTCCGTCCAGCCTGGGATGTACACCTTTCGGAAACCTCGGGGGATATGTTTTTTGGCGATAGAGATAACCATTCCTAAAAAGCGGTGATAGTTGTTGGCCTTTGGGTCAATGAAGCGAATGCAGGTGTCCAGCTCTTTGATGAATTCGGGCCAATTTCCTTTGTTAAAATTCCAACGGGGTCTCGGCGTGGATTCAACGATAGAAATTTGTATGTCTAGTTCGATTATGACAGGTCGATGTTGGCTGTGAGGGAAACTGGGTTTCCCTCACAGCTGGGAAAGTAGAGTTCGAGAGCTTGGGAGTGGTTGCATCTGTGAGTTAGTGGAAACCCAGCACAGATCAGGGTTGTAGCCTTTGCGCCATCTTCTAGAAAAGGAGGTAGTTTTATCTTTTAGACTATGGGGTGTAATGATAGATCGCCTCCACGTGGTGCACCCTGGGTAACGCTAAATAGTCTATCAATTTTTGGACGCCAAACTAGTCGCTGAGCTCTCCTGGCAACCAGTACGATAAAGAAAAATAAGAACAGGAATCTCGATAAAGTTCAATGACGTCATCAGTAAAAAAATAGAAAAAAAACGAAGACACTGTTTTCGTCAGGGATATTTCGTGATTTCGATATTTTGACCCAAAAAAGATGATCATAATATTTTTTTATTGATTTTCTTGTAGTTAAAGTACACTGGATAGTTAAGTGATGGCGTCTCCTTATGTTTTGCAACAAAGAATTTCTTTTCCTTTTTCAGTTTTCTCACTATCGGAAAAATCGTCATTTTGATTATCAAAGTCTTGCCCCGACTCCGAATTGTGGTTACTTTCATATTATAGAACTTCTTCTTCAGATCTTTGTACTAAATATTCTAGCTCTGCTAGAAGGTAAATAGCTTGTTAGACAAAAGCCCATTTAAGGTCATAGCCAGATAGCAATATAAACTTAATTCAGACTTGTTTTCATACGCGCTAGTATGATAATGGTACAAAATTATCCCGTTGAGTTACCTCCGCTTTGGATGGCGGAGGTTGTATTACTCTCACAGTTGCCAGATTTTATATAATTTATGAAGATAAAAAGAAAAGGACACAAAAATTAACAGCATTAGGAGGTTTTAATGATAAAACAACATGTTTCTGCATGAAAATAAGGTAGTGCCATGGCTCTATGTAAAGCTAGACCGTGTCCGGTCTAGCTTTCGTGGAGGAGGAGCTCTGAACTGAGTAGGAGCTCTTCTGTACTTCACGGAAGACAGACTGGGCGGGGGATGTCCTCAACCTCGACACGGCACGTCCCATATGGCTGATAGGGAAAGTTCCTGTAGATATGCAGGACAGGTACGAATAAGGCATTGCCAAATAAGTACCCGCGGATCAACTGAGGATATGACATTAGGCAGCAGTAATGTCATTACTGGATTAAGGCTGTGGGAAGTAAAAATCCTGTAGGTTTATTCCAGATACTCACAGGCGTCACTCACATTATGAGTTAAGCGGCTGTGATACTGCGATGGGGAAGGCAACGGGAAACCACCCCATTGATCCCTAGTAAAGTTATCATGGAATCAATGAGTGTAACGAATACTACTGATCATTGGCTGCGGAACTCAAGATCCGGCAGGGTAAGGAATACACAATCAAACCACAGGGCTTCCCAGGTCGCTAGCCAGCGAAATCCCTGTGAGGAAAACATCACTAGACATACGATGAAAATGAAAAATCCATACAAAGTGGCTACATGGAATGTAACAACCTTATATGAAGCTGGTAAGTTGAGAAATCTACTCTCTAAAATGGACAGATTAAACATTACTATCATGGGGGCGAGTGAAACAAGATGGCCAAACAAAGGGAATTTCAGTGCAAATGGTTACGCCGTTTATTTTTCTGGAAATCAAGACCATATGCATCGAAATGGAGTAGCAATAATTATCAAACAGCATATTAATAAGTATGTCACTAACTTCATCCCAATATCAGATAGAGTAATTTTAATACAGCTGAATGCTAAACCTGTAAATATAAATATCATCCAAGTTTATGCTCCCATTGCTGACGCAGATGAGCAGAATATTGAAGAATTCTACCATCAAATAGAAGAAGTGCTAAAAATAACAAAGAAACACGAAGCAATAATAATTATGGGTGACTTTAACGCTAAAGTTGGACAGAAGATGACGCAGGGCATCACCGGAAAGTTTGGCTTGGGAGAGAGAAATCAAAGAGGTGAACGGCTAATAGAATTCTGCCAAGAAAATGACTTCGCCATTACAAA